ATTCATATAACCCACATACATACTCAAATAACACACATACATACTCATATAACACACATACATACTCACATACGACACACATTCCTATAGCACACACATACATATCCATATAACCCACATACATACTCACATAGCACACACATTCATCACACACACACACACACACACTCCAGATAACTGATTAGATTAGAATCTATGGCCTTTGGCTCACAGCAGTGGATTGTTCCCTAGCTAGAGCCAAGCTGTGCAGCCTTTCCTTGACATTGTGTTTCTTCCTTATGAAGGAGTGGGATTGAATCTGTACTCTTGGTGCCTACCCTACCCTAGTTTGTTTTTTCTTGCAAACTAAAACAACCAAAACAAAGCAAAAGGAGGAGGAAAGGGTTTATTTCATCTTACAGTCCACAGCCTGTGACGGAGAGAAACCAATGCAGGAATTTGGGCCAGGAGCTTGAAGACAGGATGCAGACCACACTCCGCTACCTTTCTTGTATAGCCTGGGGACCACCTGTCGTCTCAGGTGATGCTCAGGGCTGGGATCACCCACAGTAAGCTAAGCCCTCCTCCATCAATTAACAGTCACAAGATGCCCCCACAGACCCATCTGCCAGCCACTCTGATCCATGAGACTCTTCCATTAAGGGTCCGTCTTCCCATGTGTTTCTAATTCGTGTTAAGTTTACAAGATTTAACCACCAGAGCTTTTAATCTCCTGGATTTGCCTCCTTTCCATGTGAACTTTTTTTTTTCCTGCTTGAGCTCCGGTCATGCTGTCTGATCTGATTTCATTTTCTCTTTTAACTTCAGAAGGTAATAGTATTTTAGAGTATGAAATACGACCGATGAGTCACATCTTATGTAGGTAGATGAGTGTTCCAATAAGCTTGTACGTTTTCAAAAGCAAATGTTAAATGGTAATGGAAAGGGTGGAACAGGAGGTCAAGGGTAACAGAAAACCACAATTACAGCTAATAAGTCTGGCCTATATTTTCAGGGGAGCTCTTAAAATAAGCTAGGTCAATTCCCATTTTAGTTGTTTAGCTGAAGCCGAGGTTGCCAGTGGCATCCAGTAACCCTTGTTCCCCTCCTGAGCAGTAAGATATGGGTAATGTGTGTCCGTGGACTGAGTCACATGTGCAGAGAATTGTATAAAAAATGCAAAGTGCAGTTCCTGACTGTCTCTAACAAGAATGCCTGATGAAGACAAACATAAACTCCAGTGTGGTGGTTAGTGGGATTTTTCATTTCCTCTAGGTCAATTGTTGCAACCAGACCTCTCTAGGAAACAAACGAAACAAAAACCTCATGTTTCAGTGATGACTGGTATGAGTGGCAGCCCTGGCTAGCCCTGCTCCTCTTCAGGGGACTCATTGCTTTAATTTCAGTTACTATCTTGTCTCCCAAGAGAACATGTGGTCATGCTCTGTGTGAGACATCTAAGGCACTCTGGTGTGCCATTCTGTAAGCTTCTGGTTGCAGGAGTCTCTAACAGTTCCACTTTTCCTCTGATGCTCTGCAAGTCTGTGTGTGAATAGGCCTTCTGTCCCTCAGCAGCTTCCAGCTCGGCCTGTGCTTCTGAGAGTTAACCAGCGTTTACTGAGCAAGCCCTGTGTGTGCTTGGCACTAGTACTATTTATGGAGAGCATTCAGAGGGTCTTTTGACCTCAAAGGCACTTTCCATCCAGAAGGGAAATAGCACAGACAGACTCAGAAGCCCCAGTCAGGAGGACCACAGAGAAAATTTGGAGATAAGCGAAGCAATTTGTGTTCCGAGTTCTTTCCCTTCCAGCTTCTCTATTGGGATTGGTGGCTTGAGTGACCAAGTAGCTGACACCAGACCATTTATAGGCAGACTCTATTTTGAGATGGGAGCTGTGGTTTGGGAAGGATACGTTATAATCATTTTCAACACATGCTTATTGAGTGTGCACAGAACACCAGGGAATATAAAGCTCCTGCTCTGCTGGAGGTGGGCTCACATTTGGAAGGCTGGACATGTTCAGGGTGCATTAAGTGGAATTGGAGCTGTCTTCCTAAGAAAAAGCACAACCAACAACGTTTGTAGAAGAGCATACTGAGCTACTCTGGAGTAGGACTTGGGTAGTGGCATGTGTCCAGGGAAAAGGAAGGTCCTTCATTTTTGTTCCTAGTGCATGTATATAACACGTAATTTCTGTATGCTGAGAAGTCTTTTCAAATAACAATAGTGCCTCTGTTGAATTATTTTATTAGTTTGATAGGTGACGAAAGCTAGAAGATTAAACATTAACCTGGACTATCTCTGTGTGGTAAATTATGAATGACTTTTGTTTCCTTTATTATACTTATATATTGTTTACATTTTCTATGATGAACATATATTATTTTATAAATATAAATATGGGCTGGGGCACACCTTTAATCCCACCACCAGGAGGCAGAGACAGGTGGATCTCTATGAGTTTGAGTTCCAGGATGGCCAGAGCTACACAGAGAAACCCTGTCTTAAAAAAACAGAAATAAGTAAGTAAGTAAATAAATAAATAAATAAATAAATAGAAGATGGAAATATTTGGGTGGAAAATATTCTGCAAAGATGATTGTCACTTTTTACATGTGTTCTGGATTTTAGATATAATATACCATCTTTCTCTGGTTTGTTTCCCATTTCCCAGTGGAGCCCCAATAGGTTTATTATTGATCTTTGTGATTGTTGACTAGACAGACAAAACAAAGCCATTCACTCCTTGCCTCTGCCTCCTGCCATTTTAGCAGTTCTGTCTGGAAGCAGGAGGAATCCGACCTCTAACTATTCAGCCATACTGTGAAGACTGCTTAGCGAAACTTCAATTATGCCGATTGGATTATAATTATGTCTGTCAGTGTGGGCTCTGATCTCTTGTTTTAAAGCACACTAAGAATACTCTGCTATGTCTTTATATTTAGTTCTGTTTGAGAAAGCAATTAGACTTCCCCATCTCCCATCTGGTGCAGTGAAGATAACTCCTCTGCTTGGCTTACTTTGTGTGAGAGAATTGAAATTTCTAAGTCATCTGTGATTTGGATGAAGTAGCTAAATCCCATCTCTCCCAAATTTTATTGTGGGAATCTGTGTCCCCTTCTAATTATGAACTTAATTACACACAAGAGTAATAAAGGATTGACTAACATATCAGAGAGCTCATCCCTTGGGGAGACTGATTCTCTGTTTTCTAGCAGCCTGTAGTTCTTCCTCTAGAGACAGAGCCCTGTGAGACTTCTTCCATCCACACCAGGATTTCAACCAGTGTTGTCATTGTGGAGGCCTTGCTTAGCTGGACATACTAAGATTTCGTGGTGCAGTTCCTTGTCCTATAGAGAGGATACTGTCTCGTAGCAAGTATCCTGGTCCTCTGGCTCTTTGCATCTTTCTGTTCTCTCTTGTGTGATGTTCCACAAGCCTATGGCTGGAGTCTGTGTTGTAGATGAATCTGCTGGGGCTGGGCACTCCATGGTCAGTTATTGAGCAACTAAAGGGGCTCAGCAGCGCGCTCTCTCTCTCTCTCTCTCTCTCTCTCTCTCTCTCTCTCTGTCTCTGTCTCTGTCTCTCTCTCCCACCACCCCGCTCTCGCTCTCTGTATGTGTATGTGTGTATGTGTGTGTGTTGAGCATGCGTACACACACGCACACATCCACATTTGAAGATGAGGTTGTGAAGTTGAGAGGGAGAGAGGGAGTGAGAGGAACAGGAGATGTCAGAGAGGGGAGAGTATGAAATGGAAATGACGTAAACACAGCGCCCGTGAGTTGCATTCTCAAAACAATACATGTGAAAAGGTAACAAAGGTCTGAGGATGGAAACGGAGTGGATGACATTTCTAAGTGAATTTCATTTCCTTTTCTCTAATAGCATGTCTTCGATGACCTCAGTGGCTCAGTGTCCTTGTCCTGGGTTGGAGACAGCACTGGGGTAAGTAATATTCTAAACTCTTTTAGTCTAGCAAGATGATAGACTTTGGGACAGGTAGACACTCTAAATATCACTAATTTCTGAAAGTGTCTTCAACCTTAGTCACAGAAAATGTGTTTTCAGGACAAACTTTCAGGAAATTGTAGTTGTTTTGGCTTTGCTGTAGAACTGGAAACCAGTTTAATGCAGTCTTCAGACTACTGTTATCCTGCTGGATGAGGGTGCAGGGTGGGGTGGGTGGATGGTGGATAGGTATCCCATTAATGCCTACATTAGTGTGAGGTACATGGTAACAATACTGGACGCCTATGGAAGCCCAGCTCTGGCTCTGGACAGCAAGTTGTCCAGGCTGAGGAGATGCTCAGTGAGTTAAGTGCTTGTCGTGCAAGCATGAGAATGTGAGTTTGGATCTCCGGCACACTTGTAGGAACTGGACGCAGGTCGGAAAGATGGCTCTGCAGTAAGAAACACACTTGTGTTATTGCAGAGAGCCTGCTCCCTGTTTGTAGCACCCACACCAGCGGCTCCCAATCACCTGTGACTCCAGCTCCCGGAAGTCCAGTGCCTCCGTCCTCTGAGTCATCTGTGTTCAAATACCCCCACACAGGCACACAGACACACATAATTTAAAGTAAAATTAAAGACAAGCAGATGGGTGTGTAGCACATGCTTGCAATCCTACCACTGGTGAAGCAGAGGCAAGAAGACCCCTAGAACTCACTGGCCAGGTCACGGTCTCTACTCCGGCATTTGTCAGGTTCATGAGAAGACCTATCTCAAAGAATATGGTGAAGAACAGTGGAAGAAGATACCCGTATTGACTTGTTGTCTCTACACATGCACATATGCACACATATGTAAACATGGACAGACATATAAACCCTCTACATACATACATGAATAAGCAAAACAAAGTTGTTTCTTATAATTACCCTTTAAACTTCCCAGTAGAGGTTTCTTAAGTGTGTACAGTTTTTCTCAATTTTGACATATGCCCTAGTTTCTATGATTTTTTTTCACTTAACCCAGATCCTTGGTAACTCTAAGTTTTGTTTTGTTTTTTCCCCAGAGACACAGTCTTAAGTAGCCTGGCTAGCTTTAAGTTTACAACACGGCTAAGTTGGCCTTGAACTCCTCCTGATCCTTCTACCTCTGCCCCCTACTGCTGGGATTACAGATGTGTGGACCACCATGCCTAGCTAAAATTTCTTATTATATGGGTTTTTGAGACTCTCTAGATGCCTGTACTAACTTATCTAGAATTTTTCTCATGTATATTTTTGCATAGAAAATAATGGTTCACAAAATGAATTGCACAGAGAACTAGCAACCTGGAGGAGAAGATGCCCAGACATATGTGGCATGCTAACCTCTGAGGACAGAAAAAAGAGAATTTTTTTTTGTGCTTATATAGATACAAATTAGACAACTCCTTAATTATATGTCTCTGAGCATCCCTGACTCACTGCTTCCGGTGTAAGCAATGGGATGAGATAGAACTTTCAGATCCGCACAGACCCATGTTCCTTGGCCCTTCCTAGATTTCAGATATGTTGCATTACAGGTTTCTAGAAAGCAGAGCTTATCGTCATCCTCTGTCAGCATGTTGTTGCCCTGTCTCTCATCTCTTATCAACAGAATGCTTTTGTCCCCTCCAGGTCATTCTCGTCCTGACTACTTTCCAAGTGCCACTGGTAATTGTGAGTTTTGGACAGTCCAAGTTATATCGAAGGTGAGACAGACAACATATCCCAGGGACATTTGACTAGGCCACGCAGGGACGGGGGCTCTACCTTTTCTGGTCACAGTAGTTCAACAGATAATTTTGATCTTAAAATTCCAGCAGACTGTGGCGCTCAGCCCACTTTTGGATGACAATTTAGCAACCTTAAGAAAAACGAGAAGGGGCTTAGCTGGAAGGAGATAAGGCTGACCTGCCAGAAAGGTGGGATAACACAAGGTAAAAGGAGGAGTCTGCAGGCACGCGTGCCCATGTTAATCTACAGGCACTCGTGCCCATGTTAATCTGCAGGCACTCATGCCCATGTTAATCTGCAGGCATGTGTGCCCATGTTAATCTCATGAATTCTTACTGACAAGAAGGCAATGTGATTTTTCTGCTTCTATACGTTACAGATAGATTTTTAAAAAATATTTTGTTCAAGCAAATCTTTAATGTTTTGGAGTCTAAATGGATTATTTTTATATTAGATGGTCATTTCTGCATAAGAAGGGACTTTTTAGATCACCCTACTTCAGTCTACCTCATTACTACAGTTCACACTAGGTGATGAGGGTGGGAACATGTGTCATGACATCCGTGTGTCTTCTGCAACTTGAAGAGTAGGCTCCTTTCGCAGGATCCAGAGCAGCTAGCACTCTAAAGTAAACCATTATCTTCTTTATCCTGTAAATCTATCCCATCTTCTGCCAAGGGACCTAAATGAATCACAAGATCCTAGCAGCTGATTCTAGAAATACCACAGGAGCCAGAGGCCTCTGGGAGTCCTGCTGGGCTCTAGCTTGTTCTACAGCTGGTCCTGGCCCAGGTGCAGGGAACTGATGTTGCAGCTCTGAAATGCTTCAACCCCACTTCCCTCTTCCAGCAGGTGTGATCTTTGACTTCTGCCCAGGGGCCTGGAGCCAGAGCTTGCTATTCAGCACAGCAATGCTGGCTTAAAATAAGCAAATACTCCTGTAGGCCAAGAAGGAGTCACATGTTGGAATTGCCAAAGCCCCATGAAGGCTGGGCACTGAATTAACTGGAGACTCTCTAGCTGCTGGCCAAGTTATTACCACATAGTAGGATGGCAGAAGTGTTTGTTGAATGAACAAATGGATGAACTGATGCCTTGACTTCTGTGAGTTTTTATACCAAGAATGTGGTTTTCCTTGTTTCATATAGATTGTCAGTATATTATAGAGTCTGGGTATTAAAAAGGCTCACAGCAGGTGCCATAGTTTATGCAGTTAAATAATCACAGCTAGATGAAAAGTCTCCTGTTTGCAGAGGAAAAGGTATATTTAAAACTTTGTTAAATTTAGTACCTGTTTCTAGCACTTAAAAGTCCTTGCTATAATGAAGTCTTCCCCTAGTATTGTCTTCACCAGCTTATCTTTCATTCCAGAAGAGTTATCATCAAATTATAAAGTAATTGGAAATCCTAACGGGAAGAACGACTATGGCTGAGCATCATCTTAGTTTATTTACGTTTTTTTTTCCCTCCAGTGCTAAATCTACCATTCAGCTGTATTGTCTTGGGAAGTCATATAGAAAAGCAAAGGGCTGCCAAGTTTTAGTTGGCAGGCAGGCCAGGGGTTGACTCTCTGCACTGTCATTTGCAAATAGATTAAACTTGAACAAGTGTTGAGCATTGGCCTTTGCTATGTATTGCAATGCTAAATACTGGCCCCAGATCTGGTTGCCTAGGGATGAGGAGGTTCTCACATAGACCAAGTGATGCTATGTAAGCTATCTCCTTAGTTTAAAACTATTGGTTGAATAAAGATGCCCAGAGCCTATAGCTGGGCAGAAGAGAGGTAAGTGGAGCTTCAGTTCCCAGCTTGGGATTTAGGGGAGGACCACAGAAGGAAGAGAGTGAGAAGGTGGAGAGAGGAGAAGACATCATGGGGTAGGTGAATCATAAAAAAAAAAAAAAATGGCCATGAAGCTAGCCAGTTGGAGTAAGAGCGTTCCAGGCAGAACATGGCAAGTCATATGTCTTAGTTAGGGTTTTACTGCTGTGAACTAACACCATAACCAAGGCAACTCTTATAAGGACAACATTTAATTGGGCTTGCTTACAGGTTCAGAGGTTCAGTCCATTATCTTCAAGGTGGGAGCATAGCAGCATCTAGGTAGGCATGGTGCAGGAGAAGCTGAGAGAATATTGACTTCCAGGCAGCTAGGATGAAGATCTTAAAGCCCACACCCACAGTGACACACCTTCAACAAGGCCACACCTCCAAATAGTGTCACTCCCTGGGTCAAGCATATTCAAACCAAGGTATCATATCTTGGGATTATTGGCAGGAAGTAGACACAATAGCATAGAGGGTAGCTATCTACCCAACTGTAGTGCTGCCAACACTTATTATAAATACAAAAGTGTTGTGTCTTTTATCTAGGAACTGAAGGATAGAAGGTGGGGTAGAAACTACCAATTAATATTGATATTTACTACAACAAACAAGTCATGCAGCCTCCTAAGTGTTAGCGGGGAGTGGGGGGTTGGTGGGGTCTAGGCTCCACCCCACAGTTACCTGGCAATAGCCAGGTATGCCAGACTCACTATAAAAGGGACTGCTCGCCCCTTCTCTCTCTTTCTTGCCTTCTTGCTCTAGCTCTGTCCACTCCTCCTGCTCCCTCTCTCTCCATGTGCTCATGGCTGGCCTCTACTCCTCTGTGTTCTCTCTCTCTCTCTCTCTCTCTCTCTCTCTCTCTCTCTCTCTGCCTTTCTCTGTCTTTCCCTGTCTCTACTACCCTCTCAGCTCCCCTCCCCTGCCCTGAATAAACTCTATGAGGCTGCATGGGCCCCCAGAGGTACCCCTTTCCCTACACCTTACCGCACCTCCACCAAACATATTCCTTCTCTATTTTTTATAAAACACAGCACTAAGACTTTCTATTAGTTTTAAAAGAGGGTGATAGCAGTACTCCCCTCAGGGTCACCATGAGGTGAGGACTCTGTAATGCTTGGCATGGAGTGACGGAGAGAGCTTGGTCTAGAGCTAGGCTAGCACCGCTGCCCTAGTTGTCAAAGTGAATGGAAAGTCTTCCATGATGGATGGTATAAAGCCACTGCCCCCAGATTCCTCCACTACTTCTGTTAATGCAGAAGGGCTTCACAAGCTCTTGTTCCCTCAGTATCTGCTTCTGTCAGACTGACACAGTTTACTTAATTGTTACTCTTTTGGACAGCTGGTTAAAATGTAGCCAGTTTTTCACTGAAACTAACCTTTCTAGGATGCGTCTTGTCACCGGGATGCTTGTTTCCAGTTCATTCTTCAGAAACAAATGGAAACCTCTGATTATTGATGACTTTATATTTGAAGGCTGTGTATTAAGCTCCTCCCTTGCTATGTTGGCTTGTCTTCCATACATAATGCTTCAAGCCAGTTTTATGCCTAATAGTTTTTGTTTGTGTTTGCTTTGTTTACTACAAAGTTCTTGAACCATGTGGGTGCAATTGGAGCTAATGAGTTCCTGAGTCAGACCTTAGCAGTGAACCCCACCCTTTTCCTTTTCAGTAATGTGCTTACAGAGTCATAGGCACTGGTTAAATACTGACCGCAGCCTGACTCAAGCCTTTCGCCTGATTTATGAGAGAAAACCCTCTTTGCTAACACACCCTTTACTAGAGAGCTGTGCTGCTTGTTTTTGACACTAAGTCATTTTTTTTTTTGTTTTGTTTTGTTTTTCGAGACAGGGTTTCTCTGTATAGCCCTGGCTGTCCTGGAACTCACTCTGTAGGCCAGGCTGGCCTCGAACTCAGAAATCCGCTTGTCTCTGCCTCCCAAGTGCTGGGATTAAAGGCGTGCGCCACCACTGCCTGGCCCAATACCGAGGCTCTTTTTCTTCTTGACATGGTAGTATTGCTGCCAGTCAGTCTGAATATTCATTATCTCTCCTCGATGTGAAAGGAGATTGGATTCTGTCTCCTGTTCCAGAGTTTAGGAGAAAACTGTAAATATGCCCTGTTGCCTCTCCAGCTGGGCTGGCCTGGCCTGGCCTGAAATGGCTTTGTTGAGCATGTCAGTCAAAGTGCACCTGTTACTTCAGAAATGGAAAAGGGAGGGGCCGTTGACTCCCAGTGGGTCCTGAGGAGGCTTCAGTTGCCCAATCACATATTAAAAGCTGGCTCTATCACCTTTTCTGTTTTTCACAGCTTGGATGACTATCGTTTATTGACTTGCCTTTGTTCAGGAAAACTTCATTTGGGATGCAAATTACAGGATAGGTAAATGTGTATCTCCTGCTGGGTAGAGTTAGGCATAAAGGCTCTTGAGAACACAAAGAAATTGTCTTTGCTGCCGCCAAAGAAAAAGGCTACCAGGAAAGGAATTGTTAAAGGACTAGGCACATCATAAGTGATAAGAGCAGAATTATCTCTGCAGTCCCGTGTGCCAGCCTTTTGAAAACATTTGTGTTAATTCTTTGAGAATTTCATACATTGTATTTTGATCATGTTCATTCACCTTCCCCATTGCCTTCCAGATTCATGTTCATTCCATACACACCCAACTTTGTGTCCTCGTTAAAACAAAACAAAACTCAAAAACAAAACAACAATAAAAAAAACTCCAACAACAAAACCATCTCGTCTAATTAGTTCTGGCTATGTGACACCAACTAGAACTTATTTGACCTACCCTTAAGGAAAATTAACTTCCTGTCTTTCAGCAGCTATCAGTTACCAATAGCTCCTCAGCTAGGTGTGGGGCTTCCTGACCACCACACCTTCCATGCTAGAATGTTTGATGCCTTGAGCTAGCACAAGTCTTGTGCATGTTGTCACAACTGCTGTGAGTTTGTCTGTACACCTGACATTCTCCTTCATATTCACTGCTGCTCTAATCACAATAGGCAGGAAATGGAAGCAGCCGATATGCCCATCGGTGGATGAATGGATAATAAAAGTGTACATTTTGCATAATGGGATGGTGTTCAGCTGCTAGGAAAAAATGAAATTATTAAATGTGAAGGTAAGTGGCTAGAGCTTAAAATAATTA